GTGGTTAAATTAGTGAACCAGTTGACTAGTCAAATCGGGATAGTCATATAAGTTCATGTCGAACTGTTAGAAACCGTCTGGTTCACCTCTAACCATTATAACAAATGGACCGACTCACTATTATAACTGATTTGACGATTCTACTGGCCCGGCCGCTAATTTGGTTAGATTCTTATAACCAAGCATGTAACACACACGCTCGGAAAGTACAATTATACTGAAGAAACTTATTTTTTCCATTTAATCCAGTTTGCTGCTTACTATTTATAAAGTAGGATTCTTGTTTTATTTTTTCTAAGAAAGAAAAGTAGGGCATTTTAGTTTAACCTTACATCTTTATGAACTTTGACCTGCTACTTTAGTGTTGTTGCCCTTGCCCTTGTTGGGGAGACCCTCCTTGGTGGAGGTGGAGCCAACAGGAAGAGTATACCTCCCATGAATTTCATCTCTTTAGATTGATTTCTGGTGTCTAGTATGCTAGACTCTCTGGGGTTCAAAAGGAAATGAAAAGGGCTGAACATATAGAAGCATATGAAATCTGAATGAAAGATTTACCTGTTCCTGATGATAAAGCTAACCAAGATGTAAAGTCGACCATGTTTTCATTGTTAAACCTGTCGATTTGCGGCATGCTGTTGTTATGTACCATGATTAAATACCATGACCAGCCACATATTTCTTCTTTTCTTTTCTTTTAAGTGGAAATAGATGACAAACAAAGCTGGCCCCACAGCGACATAAACAAGTGATCTATTCAACCAAAACCTTTCTTCTTGTTCCTGTGGAATTCAACCAAAACTTTTTTGCTAAGCTCTTAAAAAGTTACTTTCGCTTAAATTGGTTGGCATTACTCGTTAATGTTGTTGCCTTTCTTTTTGTATCACATTATGTCCATCTTTTTTAGATGCAAATTTCAACTTGATATGTTTTACAATATATGTTTGCCTTGTTTAGGGCGGGCATAGTATTTCCATTGACCCGACCTGATTGCACATTCTCGACCCATTCTTGCGTAAATTACATGTAATCTTAGTCAAATTATGTAGGATTTTTCTTTTATTACATCATATTTTAGCTATAACTAAGTTGTAAATTAGTGAAAATCTAAATTTCTCCAATAATTTAACTACATTTATCATAATATGGTTTGTTTTCTTGGTCTTATAATGAAATTAACGAATATTTCTAATATTTTCCATATAAATTGTATACCCATTGAGTCGACCTGCTCCGACCCGCGACATATGATAAATTAACCGACCTGCACTCAACCTGCCACGGGGCGGATATGGGTATCATTATACCCACCCCGGATCTGCCCCATTGTCATTCCTACGTTTTGGTCATATGTTTATTATTTAATAGCTCGCTAAGTTGGGATCATGGTGGACCTATGCATGTTTAAAATTTGAACAAAAATATTATCGATCTTTCGGTAGTAGTCTCAGTAGGAGTGGAAATTGCTGCAGGTTGGGTTATCCATCCCACATTTTGTGATTAACTACATACACAAATTATGATTTTGCAAACTACAAACCGCGTCACAGTGGTCGTGAGCAACCACTACCCACTGCGGATTGGTGCTAGTTAGTTGTGATTAGTCGCAAAAATTAAACTTTGCACGAGTGGAGCTGCGACTACCACCAACGAATCCGCTATTCACGATTAGACTATAATGATATACTGTTGTGTTGTTCATGGATATGAAATTTTGTATTTCTTACTGAGCATGGAGATATTGTATTTCCCAATTTGTTAGTCGACTTTTTTGTCGGGGTGAAGAAAGATACTAGATCAATTTTATGCTTTACAAAATGCAAATTAATCTCACACGATACATGTTATAACCTTTCAATTTAACGAGTTAATTTTCTCTTTTACTGAATGAGCCCTTGCTTTTTATATTATAAAATATTATCAATAGGTATGGAGGACTTAAAGATAAATCGAAGTTTTGTTAGGCTAATATCGTTATAGTGAATTTTGTGGTTTAACCGTCGTTCCGGTGTTCAAGATTTTGCCCACACCCAACCCACCACATACAAATTCTGGGTATAGTTACCAACAATGTGTGCGATTTGCAAGTTATCCACAAACCAAACTTTCACCTCTAAGTTTGAGTAGGAAAGAAATAAAGGGTAGTTTATGCGATTTGTACATATGACACTACTATTATTAATTAACATGTTCTCCATTATACTACAACTCATTTGTTGTTGTACTTAAAACATAAATATTTATGTCACTACTATCCCTTATCCCCCAATATTTTCAAAACCTACCAATTAACTTAATCTAGCTACGGGCTACCCCTTCCCCACCATTGTAACACAGGAACAAAAGTCTTCAAAATTGAATAGTGATTAGTTCGAGAATGATTGTCAACTATAATATAATGAAAGAGATTAATTGAGTGTTATAGGCAGTTAGTGAACTTTAAAGTTTTTTTAGAACATGAAAACACGTCATAAAATTACCGATGGAAAAAACACTTCATAATTTTTATTACTCGGATATTTTTTATTTCAATTTTTTTTTTAAACGACACCCCGATATAAAATTCATGCATCCTATACTACTTGCGATAGTTCGGTCTACTATGCTTGGAAGACGTCAAACAAGAGGCTTGAAGACCATCTGGAAGCTTCTTTGTTTACTTGCGCATGAAGCTACTTACTTAGGCAACAAGCAGTCGAGTCGGAAATGGATTAGGTCAGTAACCTTATGGTGAGTAACCATGAGTAACCAGCCAACATCAGCATCCCTCTCTCTCCTGGAAAGCCTTTAATTTTTCCTTCCTTAATCTTTGACGGACGATTTCTCACTCTTTTTAAGTCGAAATTTAATTATTTTTTTTTTGCACATTTAGATCAGATTAATTGTGCTCTTCAAAATGACATCCACTTTGATATATTTTTCGAAGAAAAAAAATTGAGTCATTTTTTACCAGTCTATACCATATGGTATTGACTGGTATTGAAATAAGAGCATACCTATGATTTGAAAAGCGTACCATGGTGGTATGAACAAATCAAGACTGTAGGATGGTTGAATACATGATAGTAGAAGTATATTAACTGTCATTTACGACTTTTATCATTGTGTACCACAAGATACCACCTCGTAGCAGGGTGGTATTGTATGGTATTGTGTGGTATTTTTTGGTCATGTAATTTCTTTATCCAAAAATTTGTAGATCCAATAGATCATGATGAACTCGTCCCTTCTGTGCAAACGTTTTCAAAAACGAATTAAAAACGAAGAAAATAGCATATGGTATGCAGTTGGTACCGTGAGGCCAGAATTCTTTTTATCTAAAAAAATATTGAAAATTGATCTCATTTTGTAGAGCACGATTAACTCGTTTCATCTGTACAAAAAAAAATATTTAAAATCCGAGTTAAAACGAAAAAGATATGAGCCGATTAAGAAAGGTAGGAAAAATAAAAATGGTTTTTAATTCTCCATCCTTAGATCTGGATTTTCTAAATGAAGGGTCCAGATTTGGTTATTGATGGTGGTTATGCACCATATCTTGAGCCAGCCGAGTCTGGGAAGGATTCTATTGTTAGTTCGTGTTTTTTTTTTTTTTCCTTATTAAGGTTATAGTAGTTTTCCTTGTCTGGTTAATATAGGATTGAAGTTTCTTTTGCCTATTTAAAGGCCTCATTGTAGCTTGTAAAGATCGAACATTAAGCTTTCATATTTAATCCTATACCCGTGAATTGGCTCGTGTAATTGGTGGGTTCCAGTCGCTTGAGTGTATGCTCTGTATCAATCAAGTAATCCCCTTGATTGTTGGCAAGCTTCTACCTATATTGATCGAGTCTTTCCCCAAGTGTGGAATTGCACGTCAATCCTATTAAATCTCAAAGCCAAAAACTCTGGTTTTGGTGAGCTTGTGTGATATTAGTCGAGGCTCTAACTTATGGACTTAAACAATCAGAGCGCAACAAAGATCGATTAGAGGCACAGGGATCACAAAACGGATAACAACCCAAACCTAATCCATGTTTCGAGAAGAGGGCAAGGTATACAAATGACTATTCCGGCTAGGGTGATGAGCTAGCAGAAAACGCCGGGTTCTTCTTGCAGAATTGATTCCACGATCAAGAAACAAGAAGAAAAGAAGTTGGTGTTTGAACAACCAATTCTACGGTTTGATTTCTGAATAAAATTGTTGATCACCCTCTAAAAGACTTAGTTCAACCCCTTATATAGGCTACAAAGGTTTTGGGCAAAAAATAACAACGAAACCCGAGTTTAGGTGTAAAAGTCATATAATCCGCAAAGTAAACATAAAACTCGTCGGCAGCAAATAGGGTGAAAAACCCGACCTCTCTCCTAGATCCTCGGTCGAGGAATAGGCCTTCTAGGTCGAAGTAAATCTCTGGAACCAATCCCCGGTCTCCCCTTCAATACCCGATCTAGTTCTGCACCTCCATGGCCGAGGAATTGGCCTGAAGCAGCCCCAACGCGTATGATCGTCACTTCTCATCCCACAACAACTCAAGCTCCTACGTCAAGCTTCTGTTGAGCAATTGGACTCTTCACTTCGCCCTCTCGAGCCTCTAACGCCTTCATCTTCAGACCACGATCATTGTATGCTCTTCGAACTCGATGGACGTCTTGTGAAGTGACTCGGTTTGCATCATTGTGTTAATTGATCTTGTGTGGTTTAACTCCAAATATCTCGAGCTAGAGATCATATTAGTTTAGCTTGCGTAACTGTTGGATCCATGGTGGTGTTCAAATCTCACTATTTGGCTGAGCTTGCGGCATCGCTTGAATCTTTATGTCGTTAGGCTCACAACCACGACCTTGTTTAGGTCGGAATATCATTGACCCGCGGCATTGAACTCAGGACATGATTCACCTCTCGACTTTGGTGAACTCACTAGGTCATTGGACTTGCGATGTCGATGAGCTCGCGGCACCATCGAGCACCGTAATGTTGTTTAGCTCGCGGCATCGTGAACCTCGCCACACCGCAATAATGTTGTTTTAAGGTGAATTTATTCTTAGGTGTAAATAATATCAGAGTGATGTATGGCACGAAGCATGATTTGCAAGTCAAAAGGTCAATTGGACCGTAGCTAGGCTTTGATGTGCTTTTGATGAATCGAAACTAAGATCTCACGATTGGTTTGCTTTTCTTTCTTCTCCCCACCAGTGGATCCCCATGGCGTCACAGGTTAATTCCATTCACAACTGCAGGAATGCCATTGACAAGCGGACTATTGACTGATGCTAGAGATCCCATTTGAACGCTTGAAGAAACTCAAACGCTACACCTCAACCTCTGGCAGTGTCCCGTGGTTATAATCTCAGAGGTCCAAGCCCTGAGTCATTTAAGAATACAAGTACAATCATTTAAATCACATATGAAGATAACAAATGCATGAACCTGATGCTTCGGAGCAACACTTAACCTCTTTGTCGTCTGTCAGGGATGGATGTAATGGGTGGTGATGGCATCGATATTGTCCTCGGCAGAGACCTTTTTTCCGTGATGTCGAGTACAACAGCATCCGAAGTGAGAAATGTCTTTGCCACTGATGCAGAATGCTCCAGACAACATCGTACCACCTGCTTCTCAGCTCACGTTTGGTTTGTCAAGAGTCCTATTGGGACCACTCATCCATGTTTGTAACAGAAAAGATCATATGAGTGCGCAAGGAAAGTAATCATGCCCATACCTTTGTTGGATCCATAATCCCTGCAGTTATCAAGTCCTCGTATCTGTTCTTTGCAGCATTATATCCATATCCTGGGTCATCATTTGACAGCACCTGTAGAAATATAGTAATGTCATGTGCTGTGCTGCTATTGAGCTTTGAAGTACTAAATTTAAAACTATGACAATGAGTTTCAGTGTGAATACCTGATTTATCACAACATTACCATTGACACCTGCATTGCTGGCTATTAATCTTATGGGATAGCTCAAAGCTCTTTGGAAGATTTCCGCTCCAATCTAAACGTACCAAAAGCACATCAGAACTCGCCTTAACCAACTCCAGGAAGTACAACGACAAATGCGATGAGATCAGGATACCTTCTGCTCGTCATTATCAAGATGTTCCTTAATCTCATCAACCTTCGTAGCTAGCCTCAAAAGGCTGCAGCCACCACCAACCACCACACCCTCTTCAATTGCAGCCTGCGATTACTCAGCCCAGGAACTCACATCTTATGATTCTATTCTTTTCTTTTTGGGACTGAGCTCAGTTCCGTATGATTTGGTATGGGAAACTTGGTAAATTTTAAAATAGACAAATTTTAGGGCTATGGACTACCTTAGTTGCATTTAAAGCATCTTCAATCCTCAGTTGCTTATCTTTCAACTCAATTACAGTCTGTGCTCCCACCTGTAATAGTAGATAAAGCAACATGAAGTTGTATTCTATGGAATCTTCACATCTTCAATACGAGGTGGCATCTCTCAGATATTTATTACCTGGAGAATTGCAATGCCTCCTGACAACCTTGAAATTCTTTCATTCAATGTTTTCCTGCAGGACTTCTCCCCAGTGTTCTGCAGGAAATTTAGGAAAAGTGCATTGACATCATCTAAATTAGCCATCACCTCTTCGTTGAGGTGAAACTTTAATTTGGATGTAAGATCTCACTGAGGCGGAAAGAAACACAATATTACTGGCATGCAACTGGCAACTCTATTCATAGACAGCTACAACCAGACGGAAACTGGAAAATCTAGGATGAACTATGGTGCTATAAATTTGGCTGAAATACCTCAACAAGATTGCGCAGTTGGGAAACCCTAGAATCAACAGCTGCCTGAGTGCTTCCATCTGTAACTATCAATGTTGAGTCTTTTGTTATCACGACCTTGGTAGCAGAGCCCAATACCTCCTCGCCAGCATTTTCTAGTGTCACCCCTGCATCATCTCTGATAACAGTGCCTGCAAAGCCATCGCTACGTAAGGGTGCATAACAAAAACAAGGAACCCTGTGCAAGCTCAAGCAAACACAACTATGAACTATTGAAATTAATTCTCAGTTTTCAAAAGATTTTCTCTATTTGACAACTGATCAGATAAGTTAAAGCCAAGATAATATGGATTCTAGTATCCACAAAAAAAGGGATAATATGGACTATGGAGGTCTGATGATGTCATAAATAAGAGGTACAATTGAAGACAAGGTTTTTCTTCACTTGCTTTTTCCTCTTTCTATCACAATTTAGGATGAGCCACAATTTTTTTTTTTAAATATAAGGGTGAAATATATTAGTTTTTAACATTAGGTGCTACTTAAGGGATTAGCAGCACATGGAACCATCAGGTTTAAGACCAGTGGTAGAACCACTAGACCAAGCCCTTGTTAAGTGCCACTAATTCACACAAGTCCTTGCAGCCGCACATATTCCACATCTCAATTTTATGCATATTGTTAAAATCAGTATGTTCATGATTAAGGCTTGTGTTATTACCTCCGGTCAGGACAGCAATGTCGTCTAAGTAATGGCTTTTGAGCTCACCAAAGGCGGGTGCCTTAATTACTGCTGCCTTCAGCACACCCCGGAGTTTGTTTCTTATAATGGGAGCCAAGGCTTCCTGCTCGACATTCTCTGCAACTATTACAATATGGAGCTTCTCTTTGACTGCATTGTCCAAAATTTTTAACATTGCCTTTGGATTTGTGATTATTTTGTCAACCAAAAGCAGCTGCAACCAAAGAATTTCAGACTCTGGTTACTACACGAATGGGACATTCACAATCAATGAGAAGTTTCCAATCTCCTACCTTGCAATCATGAAACTCCACTATCCTTTTCCTTCGATCAGTTGCAAAGTAATGAGACATATATCCACGATTGAATTGCATTCCTTTCACGATTTGTAAACAATTCTCGGTACTTTTTCCTTGTTCAATTGTAACAACGCCTTTCCTTCCCACTTGCTGAAGAGCATCAGCAATCATGTTTCCTACTGCATAGTCATTCCCTGCACCAACTGCAGCAACATCAGCGAGCTCATCATCCTCAACCTGCAATAAACGAAGATTAGTCTTAGAACTTTTACATGCATAAGCACTTTCTGTCTCTAATCACCTCCCAGAGTGGAAATTGGACACGGTGAGCAATTGCACCTCTCTTGACATGGATCTGAGTTCCGAAACAAGGGCTGTTGCAGTCTTCTCAATCCCGCGAGCAATTTGGATAGGGTTCAAACCGGCTGCAATCACCTATAAAGGAGGGAACGTTCAACATAAGCGGTTAGCACATCAGTTAGCTGGGGTGCAGAGGTCTATTTTAACCTTTTTAGAGGCAGCTAGAAGCCAGAGAGAGTAAATCACTCGAAGCTATATCAGTCTCTGAAGAAACAATGATTGCATTCAGTTTTCTCACTTTCACCCCCTCGGTGATCAGACCACGGGCGAGAATTATAGATGTAGTGGAGCCATCACCAGCAAGATCATTTGTTTTAGCACCAGCTTGCCTTATCAGCTTCACCCCAACATTTTCTAGAGGATCCTCCAATTCAATCTGAAACATAACATACCAATTCATCGGGAAAGGCAGCGCCCAGCCATATCACAAGCATTCAGAAATGCACAACATAATGTATTGGATTCCCATGCATATTCAGGACCCATTTGTCACCCAAACCTGTTTGAGGACAGTTTCTCCATCATTGACAATCTTGGGAGGCCCATACTTATTCTGCAACACCACATTCCTTCCTTTAGGACCCAGAGTCACCCCAACCAGCTCTGCCACCAGTTCCAACCCTGCCTGATGATGAAACCCTATCAAAGCAAATTAAGCAAAATACTAGAGAGAAGCCAAATTTTCCAACTGGGTTTTCGAAGTTCCAGTAACCAGAAGCTTCTTCGTGGTGGACCCATCATGGTTGAAGTGCAGCTCCTTCGCCATGGCCCTTGTGTTCAGAGCGGGAGAAAGTGATGAACAGGGTATCCTCCTTCTGGGCCGTTTGGCTTTGTTGAATGATACGGCAGAAATTGGGGACTGAATGGACGCCATTGTTGGAGTGAAGATTTTCCACGAATTTTCTTTATTTTGAGGTCGTGCACAATTCTGAAGGATAAGGGAGAGGGTGCCGCCGGCGAGTTGGGTTAGTTTAAAACTCCTGTCGTTAACAAAAACAATCCGCAAATCGCCCCCACTCGTCTAATCTACAAGTATTTATCATTAAAATTAAATTTTAAGGTTGGCTGATGCTTTTTTTTTTTTCTTCAACCCGCATCAATTGGGTTGGGTCAGGATTTTGGATAACGCAACCCGTAGAACCCGATCCAACCCGTGTTGAACTATTGTCATAATAGTAGTTATACAACACATATTTGGGTCGTAAATAAACATATTTGTGAGAAAATTAAGCTATATTATCATATTTTTCTCTTGTGGTTTTTCTAGTCTAATACATTCTTCAACTTAATATTGAGACGTAGATTTAATATAAGCTATGATTCACCTATTATTTTTCTTGTGGGTACAATTTTAGAAGAAGAATATAATATGAATATGTTAGCTTATAACTATTTTAGTTTATTTTGAAAAATACTTCTGAAAAAAATTAGACATATGTTGCAGTAAATTGTATTTCATTAAAATCCAAACAATATTTATGCATATTGAAACTTTTTGCCTCCATTTATTTGTTTAAAATCTTAATTATTTATATAATATTTTCGTAGTGTATAATAGTTGACTTTTTTGTGTTGGGTTAGATATTTAATTAAAAATATCTCCAACTCGCCCAACCCATTATAAATAAACCATAGGGTTTTAGTTTTTTTGGGTTGGGTTGGATTTAACATTTTCAAAACCATAGTACATAGATCGGGTGATTAAAACGACCAAACCCGAACCACCCTATCCATGTACACCCCTACTAACAGGATGTTCTGTTGGGAGATACGAGCTCAAGTCAGGGTGTATACCTTTAGGTTGCTTAACATGAGTAACTAAATCTGGACTCTTCCTTTAAAATGGGCTGCAGATCTATAAGTGGAGAATTAAATGTTTTTTTATTTTCCGTAGTTTTCTTAATCGGATTATATCTTCTTCATTCTAATTCGGATTTCAATTTTTTTTTTTTTGCACAGATGGAACGAGTTTGTTGTGCTTTACAAAATGAGATCCATTTTCAAAAAAAATTTGAGAAAAAGAAATTTCATACCTCTCGTTACCCACTCCATACCACCTTCGAAAACTTTTGCATAGAAGGAACAAATTAATAATGATATATTGGATCCAAAATTTTCTGGTTGAAAAAATTACTATATCATACTATACTACCCTGGTATGGAGGTGGTATCTTTCGTACCATATGGTAGCTCTTTTTAATACCAATCAATACCATCATAGTATAGATGACTCAATTTTTTTGTTCCAAAAATATGTAAAAAAGAATATCATTTTGAAGAGCATAATTAATCCGATCTAACTGTGCAAACAAATTTAAATTCCGACTTAAAACGAGAGAGAACTCGTCCGTTAAAGATTAAGGGAACAAAATTAAAAGCTTTCCAGGAGAGAGAAGAGTCGTTGATGTGGCGGATTGAGATTGGATTATGAATGGTTCTTGACCATAGAGTTACGCATAGGATCTGTTCCCGAAGATACGAATCATATTGTGGCAACCGTAATCTAAGAGCTGAGATTTAGTGGCTCAAGGAATGGCTCATTTACGTGGATTTTGGTGGCTTTTCGGTTGAGGTTTAGTGGCTTAAGGAAGGGCTCATTGAAACCGAATGAACTTGTATCCAACCGAGAAAAATAATTATCCAAAATGCAAATACTAGTATCTGCTTGTGTTCAGAAATTCTCTCTTTCTTCTTTATTTTGAAAATTTTGCTCTCCCTTTTCTCTAAGAACTTAGATATGATTTGGTTTTATTCATCTTTGGATCATTGGAGCTTGGGGTGCCTCAAATGAAGATATGATGCTGTGGGTTTTGTTCCATGTGATGTGTTTTTTTTCTTTCTAGGGATTGTACTACTTTTTTTTCTTCGTTGAATTAATTCCCATTTTATTAACAAGAAAAAGTGCAAAGGCAAACACCTTCCATACTCTGATACAACGAAGGGGGAAATTCCATAAAGGAAAGTACCCTGAGATCTGTAAAACCAAAAAACCAACAATAATCTCTACCAATCTCTAACTAGCAGACTCCTTCCTACCCAAACAAACCTATATGATTACAATCAAATTCTAAAATTGGATAAAAAGAAACAAAGAAACGAAAGTCCCTCATCCATAACTCCTTCACCACTTCAGCCGATCTTGGAGTCTCTCCATGGAATCTTCGACACCTTTCCTACCAGACGAAGGTAATCAAAGAGCACCATATAGGGCCAATGAGTCTACCCAGAGTTGTGCTACATTTTGCAATCACACCTGCATCCGAGAGTCTGAGATCCCAACAACTGCTACTGAAAAAATTTCCCACACGACTAACAATACTCCTCGAGAAACAACATTTAAATAACAAATGATCACGAGTCTCACTGCTCACATTACATAGCACACAACTATCATGCGACAACTTACCCCATCTTACCAACTTTGTTTTGGTCACTATCGCATCCACGGTGACAAGCCAGGCTATGAAGCTCCAACGCGGTACAGAGAACTTACCCCAAAGAAGGGCAGTCCAGTTCTGCTTGCAATGCGCAGGTCGCAGAGTATCCCAGACTGCCCGCACTGAGTAGTGAGTCACTAGTTTCTCATTCCAAAAGTCATCATCACCTTGCTTCCGTATAAACGGCTGCACAGATGATCTAAGCTTAAGAATTCACCTCCACGTCCATGAGCTCGAGGGATTTATCCTCATGAGCCACAAATCAGTCCCTTTACAACAATACTCAAGCATCCAAGCTACCCACAAGGCACCGGTTTGCATCATGAGGATCCAAAGCATCCTGGTAATACATGCTTTGTTCCATGACACTAAATCCCGCAAGCCCAGACAGCCTTCATTCTTTGGATATGCAAGTCGATTCCTCCCCATGCCAGAGGAAATTGGAGCACAGTTTCTGAAGCTGCTGCAAAACCTTCTTTGGAAAGACAAACAGTTGGAACCAGAATTGGATAACACCCATGAGAACCGATGATACCAACTGTAAGTGTCCTGCATACGACAGTTTTCTTGCTCGCCATGACCAAATTTTCAGAGTAATTTTATCCAGCAGCAGATCCCATTCGGACGAACTAATCTTTCCAGACACAAGTGGTAGGCCAAGATACTGGACCGGGAGAACCCCTTCCTTGAATCCTATAATTGCCAACGCATTTGCCTTGAAAGCAATAGCCTCTCCTGCGAAATAGACCTCACACTTGTCTGGATTACACTTAAGCCCTTACAGTAAATAGAATTCTCGAAGCAAAGATTTTACCTTAAGGATAGCCTGCCCTGAACCAGTTGTGAAGATCAGGAGATCGTCTGCGAAACACAGATGATTGAGAGACACTTTGTTGCACATCGGATGATACGGCAAAGATCGAGCCAGAGCTTCTCGATAGAGCAAACCCGTAAGCCCTTCCATAGCTAAACAAAACATATATGACGACAAGGGATTCCCTTGTCGCACCCCCTTGCATGCTTTGAAAAACCCACATAAACCCCCATTCAAGTTAATACTGAAGTGGACAGTAGACAAACAAACCCGTATCCATTGTATATACTGAGCAGGAAACCCCATGAGCTTCATGACTTTAAACAAGTAATCACAATGCACATAATTAAAAGCTTTCATTATATCCACCTTAATGGATGATCTAGATGAAAGCTTTTGCTTATTATATCCATTGACAAGTTCTTGAGAAAGCAAAATATTATCCATTTTTCTTCTTCCCGGAATAAATGTAGTTTGGTTAGGGCTTATAACTAGATGCATAACCTCTTTCAACCTATTAGCCAACAACTTTGAGACCCCTTCATAAAGAACATTCGCACATGAAATGGGCCGAAAATCTTTTAGTATTTCCGCATTAGGAACTTTTGGAATAAAAAAAAATGCAATAGTGTTTATACCACTCAATATACGACCAGAGACAAAGAAATTCAGAATACCTGCTATGATGTCCTCCCCAAGAATATGCCAGGTGCACTTAAAGAAACCCACCGAGAAACCATCAGATCTAGGGGCTTTTGAGATATTAAGATGGAAGAACACCTCCTTTATATCCTCTGACTGGATAGGAGCACACAACAGCTGGACTGCCTCTGCAGAAAGATGCCCTTTAATAAGTGGTCTAAGCAATTCTTCATCTGCATGCACCTCCTCATTCACTCTGCCAAATAGATTTTGATAGAAATTAACCACTTCATCAGCAATATGCTCCACCTCTACCACCTCCTCACCTGTTTCTGTAACCAGCTCCAAATAGCCTTTTTTGAATTCTTAATTTTTACAACTTGATGGAAAAACGGAGTGCCCTTGTCCCCTTTAGTCAACCAATCAACTCTCGATTTTTGCCAAAAAGCTCTCCTCTTGTTGCTTAATCACATCATACTGCTTCTACATTTCATCTCGTGCTTTGAAACTATCCTCATCAAGAGAGTCAAGAGATTGATGTACGAGTGTCATTAACTGTTGCTCTATCATCTTAACCTGATCACAGATGTTACCAAATACATCCATATTTAATTGACGAAGGGTCTTCTTAATAGCCTTAAGCTTGTAGTGTAATTTGTACCAAGGAAAACCATAACAGGAATACTCCATGCTTTCTCCTCCCTTGGCTCGCAACCAAGCACATCATCACCACACCAACAATGACGTTGATATGAGGAACGCGCCACGACGAGGACGTCGTGAATTTGGTGGGGAAGAATGTCATGGGAAGATTCTAGAATGATGTAGGTACAAGCATGCATCTTCATATTTATGCACCAACGTACATGCATCCACTTTATTTGTTATGATTCATGTATGGGTAACATACATTCACCTTATTAATTATCATTCATGTATATGGCTAGTTCATATAAGGGGACACTTCTAGGTTCATTCATTAATGATGGCCTACATACATTGTACCTAGTGGAGAGGATGCCTATATAAGCATCCATCTCCCTCACTTTTCATTTTTCCATAAATCTAGAGCTTTCCATCTCTAGAGTTTTCTCCCAACTTGGGAGTTTGAGTGAATGCGAGCTAGGCTGACTTAGTGCTCTAACGAGACTTGAGTGCTAAGTGTCGCACGACCAAGATTTGGTCCGTGACATCGGCCAGTGGAGGACTCACGATCTCAAACCGTTGGGCCATGAACAACGAGACCTTGGAACTGCTGCCCGATGGGGAGATCTACTCCATTGGTTGATGGCATCGCCGTCGTTGAGGATGAAGGTGTTTGACTTCTTGACTAATTGTTGCTAATTATTAGCTAAAAATTAATTTAGTATTAGGGTTGGGAACAATACATCATGGCCGAGGCCATGCCTGGTCTCTCGATGTCCAATGTTTGTATTTGCTTCAGACTTAGACGCTTGAGAGAGAGTAATGCATAAGTGGGTGATGGAATGAAGATTTCGATTTAAGAATTACGATCGTGCTTATCTTAATAGAAAGGTAATAAAACCCCGGTGATAAAACATGATGCACACACCCCCATCGGGTCGACTCGTTACAAGGTTACTGGATTGAAGGTCATACGGTGTCGTTTTTCTTTTTATTTGTAAAATACGCCTATTTTTAGTTTTTCCTCTTCGCCTGACCCTATTTTTGAATTATAAATTGAACATGTGAATATGGATGGTATATATTGATGTTATTACTCATATGTTGGATGAGATTTGATATAGTTATAAATCTATTAACAATATAATGATTTTTTTTATATATTCGGGCTAAACCAGACTAAAGCGAGTGAACCGTTAATCCTCAACCCATTTGCTCAACAGGGCCAATGCGCTAAATCGGGTTGACAACCTTGCTTACTAGTCTCTCTCGTGCCCCTACAGAAAACACGTTTTTCTATTCCCATGTTCATGTGGACAGGATCTCACATCTCGGGCCCAAATCAACTGCATTTTAGCTTGATCTTGCCATAGTTAGTAGGTGTGTGGATGTGGGCGAATAATTAGCAATTCGATATCGATCTACTCGCATATAATTCAAATTAAAGTGAGTGGTTAATGAGAGTGGATCGTGGATTGAAAATTTTCTCCTCAAACCTCTCCCAGTTCTTGTCCTCCTTCCTCCTACACACGATCATCAATGCCAAATCCAACCTCGTCGTCGACCTTTTCTCCCTTTAATGCAATACCAACCTAAATCTAGCGTAATCCACCTCGACGACACTCAATCTCTTGCTTCCTAACTTCCAAAAAACCCTCGCTCGTACTCTCTCATCTTCTTTGATGCCAAGTAGATTCATAAAAAGTGCGATCTCCACCTCCGGATCTCCATCGCGAGTTCACCCACCTTGCATGTTCCTTAATTACCAACAATTCCAACAATGACAAGCTCATCTTCAGCGACTGATAACACTATATTTGCACATGTTTTTTCAGGCTTCTCTTGGTCGTTTAGCTTGGTGATTGATCATTTCTTGGCCTATTTTACGCTGGTATGTGCTCATTTGATGTATTTCAGGACAAAACAAGTAGAGGAAGGCTTGGGCGCAAGTTTCAGGGTAATCGGAGGTCAAACGAGCTCAAACGAACCTTAGGAGTGCGTGTTGGATGATGTGTACGGCCGTGGAAGGTAGATGCACGATCATGCAAGGTTTCTACAGTGTTTGCATGGTCAAAAATTCAATTTGCACGACCATTGCATGGTCGTGCACGGTCCCTCGTCGAATTCAAGTGAAACGGTGCGTTTCGATGTGCTCTGGCTGGAGGGTTAAGTTGCACGGTCGTGCATTGCTTGTGCAAACGTGATGTACAGTCGATGTCGGCGCCCAATGAGGCCTCGTCAGCGATGACTGCCATCGAAAACAAAATCAAAACTTATTAAAAGATCATCGAGAGAATTTGAATGCCATTTTATTTCCCCCATTTTTGGACGTTCAAAAATTGTTGAACGAGATGTTTTTTTTGGGAGGAGATGATGTTTTTTGGAAGTGTGAATTTTTGATAATTTTTTTTATTATAATAAATATCGTGTCTGAAATTTACGTGAAAAATACATAAGCATCGCATAATCAACGATTAAAAATAATTTGATTATTGTTAGTTCAACTTTTAAATCTAACCATCAACGGAAACCCTTTAAGAAAAATGAAGCTCAACTTAATAGATTAAAATAGGCAAAATACACTTGTGTAGCCAAAACTTTGACGGTTTTGCCAAATATAGCCACTTTTGAAGAAATACCAAAAATAGTCACTTCCGTCCAATTCTTTGACGGTGTGAGTTAACGTGCTGACTGGACTAACGGATCGTCTGATCTGGCGATTTTTCTCTGTACGTATTTCACACGTGGATTTACTATTTTTTTTTTAAAAATAACAATAATTAAAATAAAAATATTTTAAATGGCTGGGTCTTTTGATTTATGAAAAATAAAAACTAATAAATAAAACAAAAAAAACTTCTCTCACCCAACCTACCCTCTGTTCGCCGCCCTCTCCCCACCTCCATCGCCATCTCGATTCTTCCCTGCGATGGCATTGCCGCCAGACTAGGCTGGGAATGGATTTCGCTGGGTACTGGATTTTCGTTGGAAGAGGTTGCCCTCATATCTTTGGCGCCCTCGCAAAGCTCTTCTCCAGCTGGGAAGAAACGGAGGATTAAGGAATGGTGTTTTAATTAAAGCGATCTGCCATTGCCAATCCTCCGCCGCACCCACTGCCTCGTCCCTTCACCTTCTTCGTTCTCGTCCCTTTCACAAGCAGTCGAACCGTCAGAGAGCTCCCCCAACGCGGCTCTGCCCTTCGAATCGTCATAGAGCTTGTCTAGAATTCCCAACGGGCCTCTCGCCCATGCTCTGCTCTTTCTAGGAGGAAATTATCATCTCTAGGTGGAACGAGACAGAGTCGGCTTCGATTAGGGATGATTTGAAGCGGTCGCCGGATTTTGAGGTTGAGATCTGAAGGAGCTGGAAGATTAGGATTAGGAAGAGGTTGGATACGAAGGGGGAGATTGGCGGCGATTCTGCTTCCGTCTGATTACAAGAACCAAAGTAGAGCCTTGATTAATTCCGGCGAAGTAAGGCGGTCGCGAGCTGCTGCTTCTCCTCCTCCTCCTCATCCTCCGAAAGCGGCGATGAGCACGGCGGCGACGTCGTTGGAGCGATAAAATCTGCTTCTTCTCCTCATCCAAACGCGGCGGTAAGCACGGCGCCAGCGTCGTTGAAGCGATGGAAATCCGTTATGTTTGCTCTCGTTTCTCACAGCAGCCGATCTTCCTCAAGCATTCTCGGTCGTTCCCCTCTTTGCAGGGAGTTGATGGAGCTTTGAGGGTGAAGGGGAAAGATAAATGGGATTTTAATAAGAGCGATCTGCCATTGCCAATCCTCCGCCGCACCCACTGCCTCGTCCCTTCACCTTCTTCCTTCTCTTCCCACAATGAAGAAGGAAGATATGAGATTGATTTGCTGCTGCCAATCCCCTGCTGCTCTTCTTGTTCGAACATGGGTTATTCCGTTTAGGGATTTTGGATGAACTAGAGAACTCGATTTGGGGTTCTTTTTCGAGTGGAAGAGAGAAGAAAGGGTCCTAGGTTTGGTAATCCACCGCCGTCGAGTTCGCCATCTCCGTCTCTGGTGATTCTCCGGTTGGTTGAGTTTGGTGCAAAAAGGGGTTTAAGCGAAACTGCGGGAACCCACCTCCGTCGAGTTGCAGAAGACGGCGACGATGGTTTGAGAGAGAGGATCGACAGCATGAGTGGTGGGAGAGGAGAGAGAATGAGAAATATTTATGATTTTTTATTAATTTTTAAATTAAAATATGACATGGTATTCATGTGCCAAGTGTTGTTGAGTTGGCGATGATGTGTCGGTTAAGTTGGCAGCCATGTAAGCATTCCGTTAATTTGACTAACGGTGTGAGTGACGCCGTCATGGTTGTCACGCCGGTCGGCGTGCCAGTGGGTGAACCTGGTTCAACCTGTACCGGTTATAAAACCGGTATGACACCACCGGTATGACCGGCATGATCGATATACGAATCTCTAAGTAAAATGATCTTATATTAATGAATTTATTTGATAAAATGTAATTTATTATTTATTTTATGTGTTAAAAAGTTAAATGTTGATGTTATTTGTTGGATTCAAGTACAAATATTTAGGTATTGACGTTAAATGTCGTGCTTAAATATGAGTATTTGTAAATTATTTGTAATATTAACCGGCATGAACCGGCACAAACCGGTATGTACCACCAGTCGAACCATTCCACTTGCTAAACCGGCACACTGGCACAAACCGGTTTGACAACCTTGGACGCCGTTAAGATATGTAACGGAATTGACTATATTTGTCATGAAATTTTCAAAATTTTGGCTATATTTGGTATTTCCTAAAAAAAGACTATTATTATCACAACCGTTAAAGTTTTGGCTACACAAATGCATTTTGCTATTAAAATATTCCAACTTCTATTGAAAGCAATTTCACTATAAAAAAAAAAGTTGTGTACATTATTCTTGTATCCCGCCTAATGCATACAGTCTGGATCACGTGCTGGGCGTAAAAAAATAAAATATTTCGCAGATCCCCCGTTGGCGATTACAACAAGGAGAAGAGAATTCGGGATTCATTCCCGAGAAGTAGCGCAAAAAATAGAGGACCAAATTGTAAATGCATATGCTCACTCCAGCCAAGCCAACACAGCCCATCGTTTTTTTTTTTTTTTTTAATTGGTCCGATTTCTTACTACTGAACAAAGGGAAGAGAACGGCAAAACGCAACTCCTGTTCGCGTCTTCGTCCGTCGTTTGTGTAATTTTTAGATTTCCAGTGACGGCGAAAGGAGGCCGCTCTAGCCCCTCTTTCACTTCTTCCTCAGCTATCTTGGCTGCAATTTTTTTTTGTGACAAAGTTTGCCACTGTTGCTCTGATTCTGGAGATGGGGTTCGCCGAGCTTCTGAATTCGATTGACTGGGAACATGAATCGTATCCAGCTTACGAAGATTATATTGTTCTTCCGCTTTTTGCTTTCTTCTTCCCCACTGTCCGGTTCTTCCTAGACAGATTCGTATTCGAGGTACTATTGCTTCTGGGTTTCCCTTCATACTTCTGCTGCATGTCTTGCTCTCCCAGCTGACTTAGAAACTTTGTTGGCCCTTCTTCCTTCTTGGTGCATTGGCGCATTCTCTTTTGGCTTTTGGAAGTCTGTTTGCTTCTGATTGCTAGGGTAAACTCGATTCTGTATTCAGGTCCCTGAATTCAGCGTGTAGCTTTTGTTTACCGGGTCGTTGACATTTTGCTTATGTTTCCTGCTCAACTTAATTCTCTAGATTCGGCCAACTGTTGTGAATCTAGAGAACAATGGCTGGAATTTAGGTTGATCTGAATATATCCACTAGGTAGTGCTCATATGGGTTCATTCAGAAGTTACTAGATTAGAGAATAGAGAAGTGAAAGTCTTCAGGCACGCCGGGTAGTAGTACTTCACTTGGATGTTGCAGAATATTCCTCTAAGCTTAATGGCTAACTTTTCAGAAACTTGATCAGCTTCATGTTAAGGCTGATCATGCGTTCTCAAACTTTCTCCAAGATTATCAAAACTTAAAGGTGATCGTGCATCTCCACTATGCTTGTTTTCCCATTGAGCTTTAGTACACACAATCGGGATCCTGATTCAGTTGGCTTAGGTTCCTGGCAAGTGGAGCTTAGTCTGTTGGTGCCAGCATCTATACAAGTGTTTATGCTTTACACAAGTCTATTTGTGGTTGTCCTAGGGCAATCTATCTAAGTGATTCATGGTCTGGAAATATTCTTTTGAATCTTGATTTCTGGCTCTATCAATTGAGGTTTTCAGTAGTCGTGGGCAGTAGTATCCCTATGAAACAAGGGTCCACGCCTATGGTTCAGTTACAATAATAAGTTTTATAATTGGACTCTGATGGGTCATTTTGTGGAACAGCTGATTCATTTTCTTTTACATCTTTTCTCTTTCTGAACTTCTCTCTGTCTATAGACTTGTTATCAGGAATGAGGTAACATAGGCAAGGCAGCTACGATTTGAAATTCAGATTAATGTTTATGGTTCGTAACTTCGTATCATTGAAAAAGATTGTTTGGCAGCTACACTGAAAGCTTGATTTATACCGAATCGCCACAGATATCTGTATGTAGAATATTAGTGTTGCTTCTCTCATGTGGACTGTGTTAGTCCTATCTGTGCTACTATTTTCTCGGTCATAGTATTCTGCGGGCTTGCTGAAACATGATCCACGTTTTGGCTTATCTGTATTGTGTTTCTGTTCTTTCAACAGTTTCTTTACTTAGATATTCCCCTTATAGCTTAGCTTTTCTATACCACATAAGTTATCTTCAGTATATCTGTAAAAGTGCTGATAGCATTAACCTTTATGTTCTTGTTGGGATGTGTGATTGCCACACTCACAAACAGAATATACATAAATAAAGTTACACAATCTCCATGTGACTAGTTAACTACGACCGAAAAGGTTTCACTTTCTTCGTGAAATACATGGTATTGTTTAGGTTTTCCAATCCTAATGAAGTAGTGAACTCTCTGTGATTACCTTCACCTCACGAGGAGTGCTTTTCTTCCCTCCATTTTCTTGTTAGTTTTGAACAACAGAAATACAAAGTGACAAGGATACCTTTTCCTTTCCCAAAGATTTGGATAACTAAATCTCTAGAATGTTCAATGGTTATGCTTCATGAACTGCAACTTCCATTAGAACTCGATCGGCAAACGAACTGGAAAAAGGCTTTGCTGTTTTTTCTGCTGCTGTTCGAATACTACTATTCTCTCATAACTGTTGCATATTAGTTAACCTCCTCCCGTCTCTCTTCTTTCTCTTAGCTCACTCGTTTTCTCTACTCGGTGACTGTGAGTCTGAAGTTAATGTCCATGTTGCAGAAAGTGGGGAAAAGATTGATATTTGGAAAGGGATATCAGATTGTGGAGGATGATGCAGCAGACAGAAAGAAGAAGATAAGGAAATTCAAAGAATCAGCATGGAAATGCATCTACTTCCTTTCAGCTGAGATTTTAGCTTTATCTGTCACTTATAATGAGCCTTGGTTTACAAACACAAAAAACTTTTGGGTGGGACCAGGAAATCAAGTCTGGCCAGATCAGCAAATGAAGTAAGAATTTGGAAGTACACATGCGAGCTCTATAACTTTTATTGGTATCTTATTTAGCAGTTCGTCATAGTTCTTATTGGATTTATCTAACTGCTAAAACTGAACAAAAACTCTTTTGTGGAATTTCAGGTTAAAGTTGAAAGGATTATACATGTACTCTGCTGGATTTTATACATACTCAATATTTGCTCTCATATTTTGGGAGACAAGGCGTTCTGACTTTGGGGTCTCCATGAGCCATCATGTTGCTACCGTCATTCTCATTATTCTTTCCTACATATTCAGGTACCTAAAGGCAGAGTTGCATTAATATGCATATTGTAGTCTTTGGTTTGGGGGGATGGATGGGATATAATTGATTAAATTTGTTCCTTTGGTTGCAGATTTGGTCGTGTGGGTTCAGTTGTCTTAGCTCTTCATGACGCTAGTGATGTATTCCTGGAGGTAGGAAAAATGTCCAAGTATAGTGGTGCTGAAGGCATAGCAAGCTTTGCATTTATTCTTTTCGTACTATCGTGGATCTTGCTACGGCTCATTTACTATCCATTTTGGGTCCTCTGGAGTACAAGGTTTGTACACTTAGATGCCTTAGTCATACTATCTTAGCTCTTGATTTATAATTTGTCTTACGGGCCACTGTTGCTGACATAAAATTTTATCTTCGATGGTGCTATTCTGACTATTGTTTCAGAAGCTTATGTATAATGTATCTACAGCTTTGCATGAACTTACCATCACTGACTGTCGCTTGACCTGAGAAAGACTTTGCATTTATTATTTTATTTGTGGGAAATAAATGAAGGCTAAGGCTTAACACATACATGCCATACACAAGCTAAGTGATGTTTCAGCTTCTATACCGATAATGTTGTCCTGTGGAGAAGTCAGGTAGTGTGCGGATTGAGTTTTTGGTGGGGTCGTATAGATGATCTGTCCACTAAATCGTGCACAAGACTAGCTCGAGCTCAGGTCATGCTCATTGACTTCTAGCAAATAAAATGAAGTCAATCTCAAGATGGGTGGTTGATGATTGATGTACAACAGCCTGAGTAATACTGTAACCTAAGGTTGTTATATATTGCCTGTATCATGAGTCGAGCTTCACCGAAGAATAGTAGCTGATATCTTTCTCTGTCTTAAGACCTTGAGTTAGATTATTCCATCCCTTTTCAAGATATGGGCGAGAATACATTGCTCCTGTTTCAAGATTCCTTTTTTGACTAAGTGTGGCTCATCTTCTCTTTCTTGGTGGCTGTCTGTTTGTTTTGAAGGTATTCTGTTTGGGTTTCTAGTTGTTTTCTCCCTAGTCATCTTACTTTCTTAACTCAATTGCAGCTATGAAGTTGTCTTGACGTTGGACAAGAAGAGGCATGACTGGGAGGGTCCGATCTATTATTACGTGTTTAATTCTCTTCTATACTGCTTGCTTGTGCTTCACATATATTGGTGGGTCTTGATCTATCGGATGCTGGTCAGGCAAATCCAAGCAAGGGGACAGCTAAGTGACGATGTTCGGTCTGGTAAGCTAAACACACCAATGATACACAGATGTGGAATTTTTGGAAAAAACTGATCTATTGCTTTCGTGTGTGCTTGCTTGCAATATGAATTGGGTCAGTAAGTTGGGATTGAATAAATTCTGTTCAATATAGAAAAGCCTATACTATGTGCCTGGGAAACACAATATTGACTAGAAGTGTGCTTCAACAGTAGTTTATTTCAAACTCTACTGAGCAAAAAAAAAAAAAAAAAAACTCTTTCAGATATTTGCTTCATAGGTCTCTGCAGCTTATTTGAGTTTGGATTGATAGACTTCCCGAACATTTCTTTAGTTAAAGTCAATTCATTTTAAGCTATGCACTGCAAACAGTAGGATTACTTCTTTTAGTTATTTCAACTAGCTTTAGATGCAAGGTTAGCACTAAAATGTCCTTCCCATGTACTTCCTCCATTCTGCAGATTCTGAGGGTGAAGGTGAACATGAAGATTGACTGAACTTAAAATCCAGTACCCAGAACAGACATGAAGGTACTCTTAGATCTCAAAACCAGAAAATGGTCCAACTTCTTGTCACATTTATGCAATGTCTCTTTTTTTAGTTCCTTACAACGGCTTGGAAATACCTCTAATAAACATGATCGTATAGGCAATTGGTCAGTTTCTCTTATTGCTTAGAATGCGACTGTTCCTGAGATTCTCAAACCTATTCCTTGCCGTCCTACATATTGGCAGGTGTTCGATTTGGGGGGTTTCATGTAATGGAATGTGATTCAAGGAGATTCCCCTTCGCAATTAGAAGGGATTGTATATGGGAGTTGACGCAGATTGCTGAAGCAAATGAAGGAGATGAATACTAGCAATAGAAGAGTAGTGGGGAAATACATTCTCCAGTAGCTCTGACGGTCAATGATTTGTTGTATGAAAGGTTTTTGTTTTTGTTTTCCTGTGTAGTAGGACTGACACTGAGCTACTAAATTTGTAAGATATGATCCCAGCGGCCAATTTGCGGAGCTTATTCTTTCGAATTATCTTCTTTTCCTTTTTTGTCCCCATTTTTCTGTCCTCTCATCATTAGTACAGAAACCAGAGCATTCCGTTTCTAGGATCTCACATGTTGCGTCATATTCGAGAGTTTTGGTTATGAACTGATGATGATGGTGTTGATGAGTCAGTTTTATCAATACATTGGCGACATTTGGGCAGTACAATGTGTTAGTAAACGGTATATGACGCACGATTGAACCCCTTCTAACAACTCGAGTTATTGAATCTCTTCTAACAACTCGAGTTATTGAGATCAACTGGTTTTTGACATGGTATCAGAGCCTTCTGTGACCAAAAGGTCTCTTATTCGAATCCACATAACCCCATCTGTTACTGTTAAGCACATGATAGTCATTTGTCATTTGCAGAAAATTTTATTTGTAAATCCACGTTGGATGCAATGAGATCGGGTTAAGGGTGTGGGTGGGGTCCTGCAAGTCCAATTCTTTAACGTCTAATTATGCAATTTGACTAACATTTATGATAAATTCCTAACAAATTAGTAAGACTGCATCAATTTATACATCTCTCACAAATTTATCACCTATAAATCACCTATAAAGATGTCTATAGTACTTGTATAAAAATTTTCATTACTCCATGTACCAATTATAGATTTTTTTTCTCAGACTCGGTTCAAATAATATGCAGTCTCGTGTTCAACTTCTAGTAACTATGAGAAGTTGGTTGAGTTGATGGATCAGAGCCGCCAAGTTGGCATCCGTTTAGATAAGAAAACTTGGAAACACAATGGTTTTATAATCAAGCCTGGTGGATTCCGAGATGCTGACTTATCTAAGATGATGATGATGATCATGTTTATTATATTCTAAGGTCAACCTGAATGAAGATGACCCATTTCCAGAAGTTGGTGGGTATTCAATTGCTGCACTTCATCAACATTACCTAACCGCAGTATTCATTGGTTCTGTATTTATGCGTAATTAGTTTTGGTTTCTTATATTTGACAGAGGCCAAATTTGCAGGGTAGATTATTATTTTTTTAATCAGCGTGTATATTTATTTTAACTTGGACTTTGAAAATTTTGTACAAAAGAAATGATTTTTTTTATGATCTACAAAATTATACTTATTTTCTATATATTTTGAAGATTTTTTTTTCCAGGCAATCCATTACCATCATTTGTCCCTCTCTATCACCCTTTATCATCTTTCATTTTAACTCAACCTAGTTTGGTGTCGACCAGTTAGTCGGAATGCGATTTGAATATGGCGTATTTACGATGTACATTCTAAAGTTTTCAAAATATTTTAAATGAGTATTTCTAGCTAGTAGTTAAATTAATTGTTAAAATCGAATTAAATAATAAAAAATCAAAATCAAAATATCAAACACTAAATAAATATGTACGGAAGAGTTAGGGAGATAGTTAACCGTAGTGGAAAAGTCATATGTCTTTTAAGATTTTAGACTTCTCTAAGTTTTTAGTTTAAAAAGATACATCCAATTCCTTTAGTGTAATTGGTAACGATTCATGTCAGTGTTTAAAGAGACCATGGTTCTAATTGTAGATTGATGTAGTTATTCGTATGAATAAGACAAATAAAGTGTAAAGACAAATCCACACTTCTTACTTTTACTCTCGTTATATGAAATTTGAAATGTTGAAAAAATACTACCAACTCTACTATTATTATATATTTATTGGTTAATCATAATCTATAAAATTATGTCAACTTTTAATATATTTTTAAAAAATTGTTTTGGGACCAAGTATACCACCATTTACCATCCTATATCATAGTGGTGATAGAGGATGATGGACGATATTAAATAATGATTAATATATTTTTAATTATTATTATTATATTTACTATCAGGATTTTACGGTTTACACTATGATATACTCATACCGCTATAGCACACTTCCATACCGTAACATAATGCTATAACTTTATGGTGTCTTTCGTATGTACTAATCCCAATTCCCAAGTCAGTGGTTTGGAACTGGCTTCTGATAATATGTTCGGCTGGTTCCAAGTTTGGTGATCTGAATGATCTCCTTTTATCTCCTTTAGTTCTATTAAAGAATACACATCTACTATAACATAAAATTTGAACTGATTGATTCAAAGGTTGCATACTAAACTAGTTAGAATACGTCCAAATTGTGCATTGATTCAAAGATTGCTTCTCTTAGCAACTTTTTTTTTTGGTGTCATTCCAATAAAAATAGTATACGCGAGGAAAAATGAGAATTTAGTTGTTGGGATACTTCCAAGTTTTGTTGGCCTCCATTTTTCTTGTTCTCTTTCCCTTTTCCCTTGGTTGTTGTTTCCGGCATTGTGCCTAATGATGACAATTTGAACTCGCAATGCGGGTATTACCGGACCTAATTCGCGATGTGGCGGGTATTACCCGACCTGCAATAGCGTGGGGCGGAGCATGAATATCTACTCTCGACCTGTCCTGCCCCGTCCCGTCCCGTTCTTCGGACATTCTACTTCAATTTCTTACAATATTTATAAATATTTCTCCTATTTTGATTTTTCTTCAACTAGTTAGAGTCGATCTTTCAACTGGTTAGACTCAATTACCTATTCTATTATCACTATTTTTTATTCATAAAGTGTTTTCCCATACGTTTTATTGTAAAAAAATAAAATTTACGTTTGTTTTTTTCAAATAACATGTAAGAGTGGGTCGACCCGCCCCTCATTCCCGCGCGGGTTTTACCACCCCTACCCGTAATAGTGTGGGGTGGGGCATGAGTATTGAAGTACCCGCCCCGCCCCATTGCCATCACTAATTGTGTCGCATGTTTGGATAAGAAAACTTGATATATATGCTCGCCCTATCGTAATCAGGTCGAGTATAATATTCAATAGTACAAGTTCAGATTACCATCTGTACGTAGTTCTTGTTCCTAGCATTTGAGCTGCTTGTACAGTATTTGCCAAGGCTTCTGCTTATAAAGAAAAATACTTTGCAACATGTTCACTCGTCAAACCATTTGATATCGGAGAATGATGGAAACTTGGGTAAGTTTTGAGCCTTCAATTAAATCTCGATCGGGTTAAAAAGTGCATGCAGGGACGAAACTGGTTCAGATAATATGCAGTTCTCTTGTGTCAAGTAATTGTGAGATCTGAGAAAAATTATGAGCTGTTTGAGCTGATCTGAGCTGCCAAGTTGACATCTGTTTAGATGAGAAAATGGATTCCGAGATGCAAGCTAATTTATATACGATGATGGTGATTATTATTATTATTATTATTATTATTATTATTATTATTATTATTATTATTATTATTAACTAAGGTCAACCTGCATCAAGAGGACCATTTTCAGAAGTTGGTGGTGATTCAATTGTTGCACTTCAACAACGTTACCTAACCGCATGTTTCATTTAAAGCTGGCGATTAGCTCGGGTTGGACATTTCGGGTTACGGTTGTGACAGGTCGGATCATGTTTTTGTTGGCTAATTTGGGGTCAATTACTCACCCAACACAAAATTTTCGGGTTGGATTTAAGATCATTTCGTGTTAGGAGCGTTCTCAGAAACAATAATAACTCGTCCCGAATATTACAATAAAACTTCAAATTAGGGACCAAGTATAAACCTTAATTGCGTGCAATATATAAGACAAGTATGTTTAAATATCAACCCGGGCCGGTCCATGTACCACTACTTTTATTTGTTTGAAACATTATTTATCGAATGATTGTTTGATTGAAAACTACGATCTACTATTAAAGTGGTTGTAAAAGTAATTGGTTTTGACTTTTAAATGAGAAGGATTCACCCGGGTGTAGCTCCCCCTAACTCGCTATCATGACTTGTCGGAATGACTGAAAATGTATGGTGGAGGTGATTGAGAATCGTAAGTGAAGTGTAGCTAGTGATGTAACATCACTCTCTCGGTCTCTAGGCCAAGGAATTAGGATTAAGCTACCAAGGTAGCTCTCTTTGCTTAATCGACTAAGGACTACCAAACCTTCACTCTCCAATCGGAATTCGGACGGCCAAAACACAATCAACCTAGGTGCCAACACAAACAAGGAGGAATGTGTTACATTAACCTAGATAGGAGACATGATTTGCCTAAGACAACTCAGTTGTACAAGGCTCTTTAACAAAAGGGGGTTTTCTCTCTAGCTAGGTTAGAATGTCAAATAGATTGTAAGCAAACACACAATACAATCTTACATGAAAATACCTCCACATTCGTATTAAAACACACCCACACATAGACAATCATTCATACAATCAATCACATGGTAGAAGTTAGGGTTCGCAAACACCTAAGTGAAAGGGAAACTACTCCATGCTAGAAGAGAGAAAAACACAAGGAGAAAGAAGAAAAACCATCATGGAGATGCTTGAATCCTTCCTTGTGTAGAAGAGATCTTTCTTTGGGGAAAATTTTCCCAAATCCTTGACTTGGAGTGAAACCCTAGCTTCTTCTCTCTTCTTGCTCGTC